TTTTAAAAAAAACCTTTGTTTGGGTTGTATCAAACTTTGGCTCATACACAGTTATACTTTGGAAAAGAATTGTTAACTCTGTGGTTGAAAACAGAGCTCTAAAATGCCTTAGTAAAAGCAAGATACTTTAGCTAAATATTATATTTTCAAATAAGTAAATAAATAGAATTCTTTTTCTTGTTTTCATTCTTATGTAAATTGAAAAAAATACACAAAAATACACAAAACTGGCCCTTGTATATTTTATGTTGCATAACACAGATAACTATTTAGTTGAAACAAACATTCATTTAAATGGAGAAAATGGAGCCACTCTTAGGCTTTCTCAAAATGTTGCTGTGAAACCCTGGCCAGTGCAGCTCAGTTGGTTGAGCATCGTCCCATGTACTGAAAGGTCACCAGTTCAATTCGCGGTCAGGGCACATACCCAGGTTGTGGGTTCGATCCCTGGTCAGGGTGCATGCAGGAGGCAACTGATCAATATTTCTCTCTCACATTGATGTTTCTCTCTCCCTCCCTCTCCCTTCCTCTTGCTCTAAAATCAGTAAAAACATAAAAAATAAAATGTTGCTGTGAAAATGTTTGGGTACTAATGATGGTGAGTCTAGATCACTATGAATGCAATGGTTTCCCTTTTCTCTGAATCGTTGGTTGTAAAAGCCATATATTTGGTTTATTTTTTAATAGGTGAAAGTTGGCAAACCTAATGTATTTCCTTTGAGGGAGATCAGTCTGAGGGACCATTTGCTGTGATCTTGACTTTGACCTAGTGGTCCTTAATGGAAATGTTGGAAACTGTTCTCTGACAGAGGATAAAGTCTGTCTGGTTTTGCACTGCACTTTATCTGTGTAGAACTTCTGGAACAAGTTGTATCCCTATAGTGTTGAGGGTGGATGAGGTGGGTGCATATTTTCCCTCCTGTGGAAATAAGATAATCACTCTGTAGTGTTTCTCTGCGTCAGGAAGCAGTTACAAAGTGACAGATATCATATCTAGCTTAAGAAAAGTGAGCTAGTTTATTTAGGGGGAATAGGAGAAAGAAGAGGTGGTGACTTGAAAATAGAAATATTTGTTTTTCTCTGTCTACATAAAAATCTAGTGTTTCCTTAACTTTGTTTGTAAAGAAACCTAATGGGCTTGGGGTGGTGAACACACAATACAATATACAGATGATATAGTATAGAATTGTGTACCTGAAACCTATATAATTTTATTAACCAATGTCACTCCAATAAATTCAATAAAAATAAAAATAATAAAAAAACAACAAAGTGGAATGGGTGGGTATTCAGAGTTATTTTTATATTTAGTATTCGGCTACTCATACAAATAGTGCAAAAAATTAAATGGCATATGAACCAACATTAAAAAAAAGGAAACCTAAAATGTGTGAACTACTGTCCCATTTTGAGATTGTGCTTTTTAAACCTTTGTTTTAACTCTGTTAGGACAGTTGCTGGGAATAGAGTAATTTTCCTCTGTTGGCCTAAGCTCTTAATCATTTGATAAGAGCTTAACACCTTTCATCAAGGAAGCAAGAGGCAGGTCTAGCCAATATTTTCAAACCCAGGAAATATTTATTGTATGAAATATTTTAACTGATGGGTTAGCAGGAAATCCTGGGATAAGATAATTTCCTTTATGCTAATGAGAAACTGTATCTCAATTACTTTTCTAGAGAGCTTTTGTTTTCATTTTGTGATTACTGACTCTGGATTGAAGATTCACTTTTTATTCTAAATGATGATGTTGAATATTTAGGGATACCTGGTGTATTTCATAATTTAACCATAGTAACTGTGAGTATAGAGCCCTGGACATCAGTTTTTATTGAGCCAATAAAGTTTTATTTACTTGCTCTTAAAAGTTTGCTTCAAAAGCCCTAACAGTAGGGTGGCTAAAGAGATTTAACACAGATTTCAAATATTTTTCTTTGAAATGAGACAAGGGCCAATTTATTTACTACTGGCGATGAGCTATGAAAGCATTTCAGTTGATGTTATTAACATTGCTTGTCACTCTCAGAAATGGTTCATTCTGGAACAGCTTCTTGGATTTGAGAGACGTGACTGGTTCTTTCCACCATAGCTGAGTGATTTGCCAAATGGGTTAGTTATAGGGCTTGACCCTACTATGCAGACTGTGCCCCTTCTTGCCTTTGTGATTTGCATGATCATTCAAGGGAAAGTGGAATCAGTTTTTTATCAAATATATTTTTACTGACTAAAGAGAGAGAGAAAGGGGGAGAGAGAGAGAGAGAGAGAGAGAGAGAGAGAGAGAGAGAGAGAGAGAGAGAAACATAGACGTGAGAGAGAAACTTTGACTGGTTGCCTCCCAAATGCACCCTGATCAGGGATCGAACTTGGAACCTGGGTATGTGCCCTGACCGGGAATCAAACTAGTGACCTTTCAGTGCATGGGACAGCACTCAACTAACTGAGCCACACTGGCCAGGGCATCAGGTTGTTGTTTTTTTAAATATATTTTTAAAATTGATTTCAGAGAGTAAGGGAGAGGGATAGAGAGATAGAAATATCAATGATGAGAGAGAATCATTGATTGGCTGCCTCCTGCATGTCCCCTACTGGGGAGGAGCGAGCCTGCAAGCCGGGCATGTGCCCTTGGCCAGAATCGAACCTGGGACCCTTTAGTCCATTGGCCGACGCTCTATCCACTGAGCCAAACTGGTGAGGGCCATCAGGTTGTTTTTATAAGTTCTTAATTTATTAATCTTCTAATGAAAAATCTGCACAATTACCTCGTAAAGTCCCTGAGGAATTTTTATTTCTCTGTTGTCCAATCCTTAGCTCACTTTTACCAGCACCAACATTGGCCCTTGCAGTCCCCCTGACTTTTCCTTTTGCTCTTATGTTCCTTTCGCTGTTTTCTTGAGGTCTTCTTCTCATACAGGCCATGTCTTGCAAGTTGATGTTTGAGTTCATTTTTCTCTGTCTAATCCAAGGAATCATAAATCATGCCAAAGCCAGTGGTCTTGACACCATCAAAATGGGTTCTGAATCCAAACACAAAGATAACATCTTGGGGTGGTCTTGTACATGTTGATTAGTTTTCCCTGAAATCTGTCTTAGGTACTGTTCCCTTCCCAGGGTGAAGGACATTGATGACCATTTGTTTCTGTTGGAGTAGTCTGTTGGTCATGAACATCTTGATTCAGATATTTATTGAGTTGTTCATGATGGCAGCCAACATTCAAGTATCCAGGGAGGAAAAGAGAGCCCCTTTTCACCGCCCAATCTTATCAGTGCCCACAGAAGGACCCCAGCAACTGGGGCATTGGGTAATATTTCTGATTAGTAGAGTTGAAATTTCCCTGAAAGGCTTGGTTCCTCTCAGGGGTGGGGAACATCCAGCCCATGGGCCGTATAAAGCCCGAGAAATCATTTGGTCTGTCCCTGCCAAGGCATTAGGGGTGAGTTAATGAAATGTTTGACCAATCATAGCAGGCTAATTTTTATTTTATTTTTATTTTTTATTTTTTAAAGTTCCTTCTTTTTTATTTTATTTTTATTATTATTATTTTAATCTTTATTGTTCAGATTATTACAGTTGTTCCTCTTTTTCCCCCCATAGCTCCCCTCCACCCGGTTCCCACTCCACCCTCTGCCCTTACCCCTCCACCTCCCACTGTCCTCATCCATAGGTGTACGATTTTTGTCCAGTCTCTTCCCACCCCCACACCCCTTTACCCCCGAGAATTGTCAGTCCACTCCCTTTCTATGCCCCTGATTCTATTATATTCGCCAGTTTATTCTGTTCATCAGATTATTTATTCACTTGATTTTTAGATTCACTTGTTGATAGATATGTATTTGTTGTTCATAATTTTCATCTTTACCTTTTTCTTCTTCTTCCTCTTCTTAAAGAATACCTTTCAGCATTTCATATAATACTGGTTTGGTGGTGATGAACTCCTTTAGCTTTTTCTTATCAGTGAAGCTCTTT